CATGAAGGGAGACAAGCTTGGGGAGACAAGGCGGCAGCGGCAGCCAACAGCGAAATCAGGAAGGGAGACTAGCTTGGGAGACAAGGCGGCAGCGGCAGCCAAAACCGAAATCATGAAGGGAGTGAAGGGAGACAAGCTTGGGAGACAAGCTGGCAGCGGCAGCCAAGAGCGAAATCATGAAGGGCGACAAGCTTGGGAGACAAGGCGGCAGCGGCAGCGGCAGCCAATTTCCGCAATCAGGAACCCATCCATTGAGAAGTAAGAACCCCTATAGCTTCGCTATCTGGGGAAAAATGCAGACTTCTCAATCTGAATCTGGCCAACTGCGGACCCTTATATTCATGTGCGGCCGTCAAAACTCCTTGTTCAATCTCATGCCACATAGATTGAGGAGACATCGCTTCGCTCAAACTGGTGGGGTCTCTGCCACGCTTTGCGGAATGAATGGAAAGCAAAGCAAACACCGGGCGTGGCAGGGCGTGGCAGTGCAATGGAGCACAGTACCACCGGTTCATGGCAGAAGCGCTGTTGTGTATGCGGCAAAACGGGGGTTTGCATTCCAGCTCAAGCAAAGGTGCCTTTAGGCGTGATAGTCCGATAGTTTCTTGTGGTTGGTAAATGCAGGTGTCAGCCAAACAGGTAAGCGACGAGCACTCAGACAGACAAACAAACAAACGTCACTCGAGTAGAAGGCAACAGCAAAGCTCAGCTGACACCAGAAGAGCTTTGCAAGCAGCTAAAAGCTTTACCAAGTGGTTGCCACAACATCTTTGTTGGTTGCACACCACTCTATATGTTTCAGTGGGCAAGTAAGTGATGGACTGGCATGATCGAAGGCATTTCGTTGGGGTCTCTCTGAGGCACCGAGTTATGGGGTGTCGCTGTCGTGGCATCCCCGAAGCGAATTGTGGCCCCACAAGGAGATGACTCCTGCAAAGGAGATGACCTTTTACATGTAAAGACATCCATGTCACAAGAACATGTGGAATTCCCTTTCAAATCAAGAACCTCTTGAAAGAAAAACACTGGTCGAGGAAATGCACTTGGACCATGTGAATCCCTCATGTTCTGGTAGGGGATCGCTCTTGGGGAGATCCATCGCTTCCCTGGGTGTTGCCCAAGTGTCGTGTCAGGCGGAACAACGACCGCTTCGTCTGCCCAGTCTGCCCGTGCTTTGCGTCGCATGGAACAAAAAAACAGAAAAAAACGAGGCCTCCAACCGGTCCAGACCGGCTGTGCCTGGTCTTGGTCTCTCTGGTCCCTCAGCTCGACCTCTCCGCGTCCGTCTCGCTCGACCTCCAACCGAAGCGGCACCCGGTCCCCACCCGGGCACCCGGACGGCTCCGCGTGGGTCGAGGCCTCGCTCGCCTGGGGTCGACGGACCGGTGCCGGTTGGGGGTCGGTGGCCGCCTCCGGAGCCATGATGGGTGCTGATGTGGTCACTTCGAAACAGCGAGGAAGCTCCTGACTGACACGGTGAATTTCTTCTTCAGGTCCATAGACTCTCGGACCTGAACAAAGGAACTGACCTGTCAAGGAATGTGGCGGCTGACCTGTTTGGACCTCTGACTCGCTGACAGCCGCCGACCTCTGACTGGGGGGGAGGGGGGGGGGCGGGGTAGCATAGGGAGACCTCCCAAAGACCCCCTGGAAACTTGACCAAGACACATTGGGCCAAAATGAAGTACAAGCTGTCTCCCTCTGTGATCTTAGGGCTTGAGGTGTCGCAATGGTTCAATGTGTTCGGCTCCCTCTAATGAAATACAAGCCCAGAATGTGGTTCTTACACCTTGAGGTGTCGCAATGGGAAGGGTCTGATCTTGCACTCCCGGCAGGTGGATCAGATGGCGTTTCTTTCTCCCGGAGAAAACAGAAGAGCTGGGGCAGCTGGGGTAGATGGATCTCCTATGATCTCACACCAAGACTCCAGGACCCGACTCTGGACGGGTCTTTTCTTTTTTCAGGTGGCTTTTGCCGGTCGCAGGTGGTGGTGACCTGTGAAGTCGGGTGCTGGTATAAGATCATATAAGTGAACAAAACATCCGCGTGAACATTGAAAAACACCTTGTTTCTTTCCCGGAACCCATCATAATAAGTAGTCTATTCTGTCCATGTTCGGTGGAAAATAAAAAAGAACAAGGTTTTCCCAGTGCCATGAAATACAGCCATTTTCGGTGTCAAAACCAATGTCTGGGCTGAGAAAGTACGGAATTTGATTTACTTCACTCGGCATGGCTTTCATCTGGTTGCACCACTGAGCTCAGTATCAGTAGAACGACATGGACCATCGAACCTGACCATTCTCCATATCCATCTTAGTGGCTTAGCGAAGATGACAAGCTGTGAATGAAGGGGAAAATGACCTCTTAAATATACACATTCTAGACCCTCAAAAGTGTTCGTTTGGAGGACAACAAGCATGTTGCTTTTCAGTAGACAATGACAAGCATACAGCCCCAAAATCCATCGGGATTCAGTTGAGGGTTCATGTTGGTTTCTTTGGGTGGGTTCGCTTTTGAGCCTTCTTTGGGGACTATGTTCTGCACCAGGCCAAGTTTTATTCCGATTACGTTGTGACGTGAGGTCTTTTTCTGGTCATCAGTCGTGACCGTGCAATCTTGGGCGATCTTGGGTAAAGGGTTGTAAAATGAGGCAACCAGAAACACCAAGGTTTCAGTGTTGAGTTGACCAAAAGGCCCATCTGTCTCGCCTCTCGTGCACTCCGCTTGGCATGCGGCGGCGTGCGCGGGTGCGGCATCTGTCCCGGAAAGGCCTGGGCGTGCCCCGAGCCGAGTTTTCGCAATTCGAGCTCCGAATCGACCAGCAAAGCCTACCCAACTACATCCTCCGCCATATTCCACTTGAAACTGGAAGAATTCCAACATATTCCAACATATTCCAAGCCCCCTGAAGGGCGACCCGCTCCCCCCCCCCTCGGCTCCCCGGGCCCAGTTCCCGTAGTTCGGCTCCGGCGTCTTCCGCCGCGTTTCGGCGTCGGTGCCGCCGGCCGCGCGGTCCGCATCGGGAACGCCCACCTGGGCGTGGCGGACGGGGGGTTGGGCCGATGGTCTGGAACAACACAATGGGGCTTCATCGCTTCCAAGTCGTCAACATCTACCTGGACCCTCCAACAGGTGTTTCCTGGTGGCAAGAGGTGCCCAGAAACCACCTGTTAGGCTTCTAAAACCACCTGTTGGAAGGTCCTGGTATACGCACCATCTCTGTAAACATTTCGAACCACCTTCGAAAAACCAAGTTTAAACAAATCGCCTACTGTATTATATTGTGGAAACCAATCGCCAATCAGTGGGGAGTCTCTGCGTTTTCAACCTGTGTGTGTGTGTGTGGCTCAAATAAGGATCAGTCATAAGGAGGCCTCCCAGGTCACGACCCTGCCGGGCAAGAAGGTAAAAAAAAAAAGAAACACGTCTATATATACCCAGCCAGTGGCCAGGTTTTTGGGGGGGTCGAGACCTCTTACACCGACACACTCGTGTTCTGGGCATCCCCGGCGGTGGTCGCCTCAGATCCTCAGCGCACCGCTGCGCGCGATCGCTCGGTCGAGAAGCGGGGAGAGCGGACGTGAGGCTGGATCAGTGGCAAGCGTAGTCTAAAAGAGGCAAGGAGCTGGAGATCCAAGTCTAGTGAGCTTGCTGGTGTAGGTCCGACGTAGGTGTTAAACAGTGATGCATGAATATGCATGATATCTGGCATGGTTTCGTGCTATTTCAACATGGCTGGAGGCATGATAGGAAACAGAGTATCGGATGTTCATAGATGTTCATAGTGAGGCTGTCAAAACTGGCATGTTCACCGGGAAGCACGAAGAGGCTTCGTAAAAGGGGTCCGCAACAGCTCAGTCAACAGAACTTCAACAGAACCGACCCTTTTTCGGGAGTCCCCCAGCAACAACCTTGAGTCACCAACAAAACCTATGAAATTAGGGACTTCAAAGCCACCAAAAATGTTGGCCCCAACGTCGACGTCGTGCGACGTCTCCCCCATGTGCGTTTCTCTTTTTCCTCCGTTGAGCCTTCTCACCCTTGACCCGAAACCTCCTCACCAGCCTCGCACCGAATCTCGGGACATGACCTGCTTTCCCCTGGCGCGGAAGCCGTTGTTCGTCGGGTGCGACGCCACGGCTCCACGCGGCGCCAGGGCGGTCCCCAACAGGGCGGTGGGTGGGTGGGACGGGAGGGTGCCCTGGACTTCCGACGATCTTCAACAGTCTGAATCGGTGACGCAAAGAGGAGCTTCATGCTTCGCCTGTACTGAAGAGTGCCTTTTTGACCATGTGTTAGATTGAGCTGTTTTAATGGTTTAATGATGTGTTACAAATGTGTTCTTTCGCTCACAAGGCTTGGGAAGATTCGATGCTCCCCCCAAATCTGGAGCGGAGGTTCGATTGTTCAATGGGGGCAGAAGTGGTCCTCTTCTCCCAAACCGGACTGATTTTCCCTCTTTTGAGGAATACCGGCGGCTGGAGGCTCTATTTGAATCAACGAGACGTCGATCGTCATGGCAGTTCGGAACTCATGATGTGACCCAGGGCGCTCCTGGAAGGGCGGGGGCGTTTCGCCGCGCTCCGCCGGCAGTTCCATCTCATGCTCCAGCGCGCCCTGGCGAGACGTGGGAACACACGGTCTCGACGAAGGACGAGGGGAGCGGGGCGCACGAAACGAACGTGACTGGGGCGGTGGTGGCGAGCCGAGCGAAGGTAGACGACGTGAGGGTGCGTGCCATAGAGCCTTCCTCTGTTAACATACCCAGGAATAGATACAGTATGACACAGTAACCAGACACCATAAGGTAGGAGCCATCAAGAAATAAGTTCTTTTTCAGAGCACAGGCACAGGTCTGAAAATTGGTTTACGGTCTACACATCAAAAGGAAAACAATTGGTTGGACCCAATGAAGGGAGTTGGAAAAAGATAAAGAAGACCGAACGAGTGCGGCATGGCATGGTCCCCCCGTGCCCGCAGGTTTGGACGGCGTGTTCTGCAGGGGTTGGCCTATGTTGCCATGGATCCATGGAATCCGATGTCGCCGAAGAAAATCCCGGAAAAAACCACATGCTTCACCTCTGTTTCTCACCACCTGTACGTTCTTGTTCTCCTCTGTGAAACAGACACCTCTGAAAGCAGCTCACCCATCATTGGTCCGACAGAAAGCTGTTGCAGGCGGTCCACGTATGTACCGATTCATGGACGGAGACGTCGCGAGCCCGGAGCTCTGTTCGGCCGCGGACGGACCGTGGGGAGCAGTTGGGGATTCAGTGATGAGTGAGCAGTCAGACATGATGCTGAGCGGCTCACAATCCACTGAAATTAGACTTCAGAAGCAGGAAAGCCTTCGAAATCGATTTACTTGTGGGTCTCAAATGGGTCTCGGAGCTCCAGTGGCTCCAGCTATTGCCATCGTCGACTTGTCTCAAGTCTCTATGCTGGGTGTCCAAAAAAAACATTCACCAACACACACCAGACACACGGAGTGGCCTTCTGTGGGTCAGACGACACATACAACTCATACAACACAGACACAGTAGACCCTCCGAATCTCCGGTGGATCACCGTTCCGTTCACTCGGTCGGGCGCCTCGAAGCCCGCGTGGGTGCGTTGATCCATGGTCTTTAAGAAGCCGCCGGAGCGCTTCTTCTTCTCCACGAAGAGGTGGTACGTGGTGGTGACATGGTTGTGCTTTCCCATCTCCCTGGCGATGATTTGTTTTTGTTTCAAGATCAGAGAAACGATCCAACGGTTTGGAATCATGTTCGACAACACGTGCTCAAAACGTAATGAGATTGTAGCAAGTGGATGTGGATCATACAGTTAAGTTGTATGATGTTATATTGCAGAACGCATGTGTCACAAAGTCTCAAACTCTTGGGAATCCTCCTGGAAAGAGTTCCAAAGACGTAGGAGGCCGTAGCAATGTTTCGTGAACCAAAAACCAGCTCCCATCAAAAAGTGTGCACCGACAGTGTCGCATCAAGTCATGAAAAAGCGTGGCTGTCTGGCAAGCACTTGGCAGCGTAGTCTCTGGGGAAGCCAAAGCGATCGAGCTGATCCAACCTCACGCGCTGGACGCCGCGTGCCATGGAATTCCCCCGCGGGCGGAAAAAAACTGGTCACGGCACAGCCGCCAGGGTCTCGGGCACATCTTCCTCAAGGACTTTGCTTCCAGGGCCTGTGAAAGAGGCAAGACGGACGAAGCACTCGCCAGAAGAACAAGGATCAAGGATCCCAGTGCAAACGGCACGGAGCTGATAGCTCCGCAGCCTGATGGCCACTCATGTAGTTATTGAACGAGGCAAAGAGAGATAAGAGGAGCAAAGACAGACAAAGAGGACGAGATGCTCTGACATCCGAACAGGTCTATCGTCCACCATATGAACCCATGGTCCATTTCAGATGGTCGCATCTTCAGGCGCCATCCGGATGCGCGCATCGCGTGCCTGCAGACGCCGGGAGGGCAGCTTCCGGAATCTGCCGATACCTCCGCGTCCACCGGAGATTGGCTGTTCGAAAACTGAGACGGTCACTGTGGACGGTGAAGGGCGCTTCCTCACAGTCATTCCTGCGTGTCCCCAGTCCCAACCGGGAACCGATGTTTTCCCCAAGAACCACTTGCTACGTCAAGGATCTCTGCGGATCGGCGCTATCTTGCCGGACCAACTCCTTCGTTTCTGGAGAAGTCGAGAAATCCACAGGTTGCACAGCTCGAAATCGAAGTCGGGAGAAGTTCGATCTCAAAAAAGAAGGCCGTCGATCCCGGAGGTCGAAAAAGGCACGTGTTTGCTGGTGTTTGGAGGTGTTTTAAAGGTTGGAACGTTGTTTTTATTTCGATCTATGAAGGGGGGGGCAATTTCGGTCGCAAAAGCCAGAGCAAAACGGAAAAAAAGAACTTTTTGGAGAACTGATCTCTGAAAGAATCTTGTGAGTTGTTGTTCATTTCTCACCAGCTTGCCCTTCCCGCCTTTCAACGCCAAATGTCCGCCTCCCCCGGTGTTTTTGACTCTCATACAATGATTCAATCTGCAGCTTCAGGGAGCACCATGGATGAGTTCTGATCTTGGAGATCGTATAACGAGTCTCGGGGTCCGTATTCAGCATCCTGCGAGCTGCACGAGCTGCGAGGGAGCTGCACGAGCTGCAAGAAGAAACGTCATGTTGCACGTCATGTTGCAGTGCTGGAAAGGCCACTACAGGGATTTCGGCTCAGAGTAGATGGCAAAATATTGAAGAGCTAGGGGTCACTGTTCACTATTCCAACCATCCCCAGTGGGCTCCAATAACACGGGTCAGTACCTGAATCTCAAGTGTTTCATGATGTGTCATATCTTTCCTCCCACTCAGCTCACCTACTGTGGCAGCTGATAAGAGACATCCTTCATGATACGCTTTGGAATGCACATGGGAGGATGAACAAGTTGGAGAATACGGAAAAGAAAGTTGGAGGCCATCGCTAGTAGGTTGGAGGCTATCGCTATAAGTAACTCAAGATTGTGTTTAAAACTCTATTTTAATGAGTTTGGAGGCAATAAGAAGCTCCACCGAGGCCTAGGGTCTGACCATCTTTTTCGCCGATACGCGGCTAACTTACGCGGCTAACTTCTTGGGTGCTGAGCATAAGCCAAACCCACTTAGGTGCTTCAAACCCAGTCCACACCACGGTGCTTCGCTTCACCAGTGCTGAAAATGCTTCCCTCTCAGCTCACCTGGAAATGAGATCCCGAACACCTTCGGAGATAAATTTGGGCGCCTGGGCCAACGAGGAGATCCCGCGGTCTTCGCTTCGGCAGCTCGGCAGCTCGGCAGCTGGTGTTAACAAGAACGACGCGTCGGATGTTGCACGTTTCGGGGCCGCCGGCAGCGGGCGGCCTCTTCAAACATCGGACGAAGCCGCCGCCGAATGGGTAGGGTGTTACAAAGGGGTGGATAGGGGTGCCCAGAACATCCACTCACTTAAGGACGAATAACCACCCCTTGGTGACTCCTGCGGGTAAGGCGCTTCTTTTGCAAAGGAGTTTGAAGCACATGTTGATTCGTGCTTCGACTGGTCACCCCTGGCGAACATGTTTTCTGCCCCGTTTTGACTATGTTGACCTCAAAATATCCGAACATTGCCCAATCACAACTGGTGTCTGCTGGTAGCTGTGCAAAACGATGTGTCTCTTTGTTTTCTCGCTTTTGCATGCACAGAAAGTCTCCGAAATTACCTAATCACAAACTTCACCGTTGCCAGCTGGTAGCTTGCAAGATTGTATTTCTCTTCATCGTTATTTGCTTTTTTGTGTTCCGTCTCTCTTTTGAAGTGCGTGACCCAAAAATTTGTCATGTAGATACATGTAGCCTGACGGCCTGAGGGTCCGTTTTCACGGCCTGGTAGTCTGCGTTGAGGATCTTTCGGTACAAAGCCGATGTGTTTTGATCCTCAAAGGGCAAGTAGCCGCCTGGGCAAAAAAGGAATGGCCCAAAAGACGGGAAACAACGCAGCGCTTCCAGACTTCTCGGTTGCTTTTTCTAGACAAGAAGGTCCGGGAGATGAGGGGGCTTTCATGTGACTCATGAGCGCAAGCTAGCTTCTCCTGGCATGGCCCCCCAAAAGACTCGGATCATGAAGTCCTCACTCCAGGTAATCATGACCCAGACCTTCCATGGGACCCGCATAGGAAAACCTACATTGACCCCGGCTCAACCAGCCCAATGTATGCCAATCTTCCATGCATAGTGCTTGGGTGATGATTTCAGGGCGTGGTGATTTCAGTTCTTTGGGGTTGTGAGAGTGCATGAGCCACGGGCAGGTTCTGGGTGCAGACCCCGAACTAAGAGATAGAATGAAGTGAAGGAAGTGAATCCTGCCTCCAAGAAGAGTTTGGAAGTTGAGAAACGAGGTGTTTGGCGACCACTACTATAACTCATAAATCTCCCTCACAATGTCCAGATAATAGGATAAGTCTGACGAGTAGATGCTCTTAAAAGAGCTTTGACCCCATCAATGCAGTGTCTGGCTTGCATGATGCCTTCGATCATTCCTGCCGCATGTTGCGGCGCGGCCGCACTTGGCCGGTCGCATGTGTATCTTCATGTGTCTGGTCGTTGAGAGGGGCTGTCTTCGTCTGCTGAACTGAGAGGACCCTGAGAGGGAGCTTCACCCGTTTTGGTGCAGTTAGTGGCTCCTGCAGCTCCTTCTCGTTCTCAAATGGTATCGGGTTGGGTGCTGGTTTGTTGGTCGAAATTCAGGTTGTCTGATGCTTTCTGTACATATTGCCTTGCTTCTTTTTGACCTTTTTGTACATACCGAGTCAAAGGACTGTAGATCTCCAGTCACAGACGGCCTGCTCGATTCGCAGGAAGCGACTGACCATCAAAGGCACTGCACCGGCTCTGGTTCGGCGACCACGTGTTCCCTTTCGGGTGGAGGAAGCAGCGTCGGTCGCGTGTCCTTCCTTGCTCCGTCCAAAAGGCTGTCCGCGGACCGTGGCTCTGTGAGCCGCCATTGGGAGGGGCTTGGAGGAGGAAGCTGGTGACTAGGTAGAAGGGGGTGGACAGAGTTCACATCTGTAAACAATTGAACCAAGTGCTACACAGGACCTACTCAAAACTTTGATTGGTTCTTGCCCAGAGGAGGCTCACAGACTCCATGACCCTCCCTTACTTTTTGGACACATCTTCTGCCCATTGGACCTCCAGTTGGACCACCAGTTGATCTCCTTCACCCTCTGACCCTCTGATCCGATCTCCTTCACCCGGGTGCCCGGGCAGACGAGGGCAAAGAGGATCACGCCACAGCTCCACACGTCGCAGCGCGATGGCACCTGAGGTCGCGGTCGCGGACCCGCGGGTTCCGCGGTCGTTCGGCCGTTCAACGGCCTTCCAAAACAGCGAAGAAAGCCCCTGTTTTTGGTAATGGCAAGGGTATTGCATCTCTCTGGTTGCTGAGAGAAATTCCCCATTGAGTCTTCGCTGCTCCGATGCTTCGAGGTCTCCGCGTGCCAAGCGAACTGAGTCGGTCTGTGTAACTCAACTCGTTGGATGAGGACTTCCAGCTGCTGTGGCTCGTTGCTACAAGGCTCGAAGCTACCTGGACCTACAAGGGGTGTCCTGGCTGGAGGTCCCTTAGTGGTCTAGGGGCTTCCAGCCAGGTGACCCCTTTGAAGGTGCTGCTACAAGGCAAGTGCCCAGAACTGCGACGGATCGAATCGCCCGGCCGCGCCGAGCGAGCCGGTGGGGTTCCCCGTTCCGCAGGGTGCGGCGTGAGCGGGTCAGGTGGGTTTTTGGAAGGGAGCAGCATGAAGATCTACAAGAAAAACCAGGAAATGCATGGGACACCATGTTTTTCACCCCCAATGGGTGTTTGCTGGTCCATTTAACCAAAGATAGGGCACCCGAGCTTCCGTCATGCACTTTTCTCAGCGGGCAAAACAGACCGTTCAGCCGGCCAACGAAGCTGATGAAAACGGAAATCAATCTCGGTGAGCCAAAAAAATGTCGCTTGCACATGTATAATTGACATCTATTGAATTGCTGGGGCCACGGCCTGCCTGGAAACTAGCTTGCCAGTCCAGGTTCAAAATGTTCAATCCAAATAGGCCAAATAATCGTCCTCGTTGTCTGATTCGATGAGCGTACTATCTGTGTAGAGTCTGCCACCATGTTTTCTGAGAGACTCCTCCTTCTCTTTTTGGAGTTTCCTCCGGTCATAAGGAAAAGCCCAATGCAGAAAGATGTAGCACATCAGGCACAAGAGCCAGGGCAGCACTGAGGTGAACGCCAAGGCTTTTCCCAACGCCTCTGCATTGCTTGTGGCTTCACCTGGGCCAAACCAAAGCGGTGTTTAAAGGCCTGAAAAACCTCGAATTGCTGGGGGAGGAGGACGACTTCGGGGTGAGGATTGCACCTTTGAGCAGAGTCCATCTGTCAACTTGAGCTCTGTCATGTCATGTGGAGCTGCATCCCTCCAATCCAAGTGTCCTTTGGAAAAACACCCAATCACAGATGCATACCTACAATATGTATATATATAAATATATATATATACGACTATGTATGTGCTTCTTCTTCTTCTTCTTCTTCTTCTTGGCGGATCTATCACAAAAAACTATCTCCAATTTCCAAAAAACATCTTGGTCCCAGACAAAACCCCCCTTTGCGAAACACACACACACACACAAACAAACACCACACGCGCACAACACACGCACACATGCGCACGCACCGAACGGCGCGGCCTTCATCTGCCAGGTTGAAGCCAAAGAGGTTTTGCGCCAGGAAGCCCACCGCGGCGTTGCCCAGGAACGAGGCGATGGCGCCTTCCATGGCGCTCTCCCAGGCCATGATGCCGCTTCGACTTTGGGGATCCACGATCTCCGACAAGATGGGCCAATTCACGCCCACACAGCACCAGGTGGCCGTCAAGCCCATGAGGACCTAGGAGGGAGAGATCTGGCGGAAATGCTGGAATGGTTTCAGTGGATGGGTTGAGCTGATGGGGAAAGAAATCGTGGCTGCCGTGGTTGGCGTTTTTTGTCAAAAGGAAAATCACCCGGATGGAAAAAGAGGAAAAAGATCTACCCCAGAAGCAACATGACCAGGTGACCAAAAGAATGGCGTAGTAGGCAAAGGTTTGATTGGTCGTCATGAAGATGAAGAAGACACAGGGAATTCCAAAGCTCACCGACATGTTCGCCGTAAAGGCACGGCCATGATTGGGGCATCTCTTGGCCATGGCATCCCCAATCAGACCGCCCAAGACGTTGCCGATGGCACAGGCCAACTGAAACATCGTACTGAGTCCAGCGGACTCGGTGTCACTCAGTCCGTTCACTTGAAAATACATCGTCGAGTAGTTGAAGGCGTTCCAAGGAATCGCTCCGAACAAACCCTGGCCCACCAGGCACAGGAAGGTCGGCTTGGCAAAGTAGCTCCCCAGCTTCCTGTTCGGCACCACCGATTTCCAGGAACACCAGGGGCTCACGAAGGTCGTGTCTAGTCAACACGTGGTTCGGGCTTGGAGACAGCCGGGAGTTCTGGGGTTTTGTCACACAGGTATGCTTCAAACAAAGCTAGAACCCTGTCGAAGGCTGCAATTAGACAAACTGCAAGTGCACTCAACGGTTGTCCTCTGGCATGGGGGCCGAACACCTCTGTCAGTTTCTAGTGTGCTTTTGCTTTTACTGTTTTTGTAATGGTATTTTGGACCTTTGGAGGATGATTTGGAGGAGTCGTCCATCTCGTTTTGTGCTTCGCAGTGGTCGTTGTTTCCTTCACGTTTCGCACACCTCATCTCGTCCTTGGCACCATCACATCCACGTTTCCGACTGCCAGACTCCCATGTCTTCTCCCTCCTCGGACGCGGAGCTCTCGGAGCTCTCTCCGGTCGAAAGGACTGGGACGGACGGGACGGGCGAAGAATGTAAGAAAAGAAACGCCCTCAGTTCTTCAACAAGTGCAAATGGATATAGTGGCACGAAGTGACTGATGTTTGGAGAAGATGTGTCTTGCAATCATTGGTCTGCCACACGTTTAGAGTTTAGAGGCCCAAAAAGTGGCTTGAAACTCAAAAAGTGGAGAGACGCCCTGACTACAAACCGAGCAATACAGAGCACTACAGGAAGTCCATGTTCAGCGAAGTGTTTCTCTTTTCGAGATCTCTTCAGCCATCCCAAGTCCTGGCTTCATGCATGAAGACCTTGATCAAGAATGCCGTGAAGATGGCAAAGCCTCCGATCAAAATGAAGGACACGCGCCAGCCTTGAAGCCCTAAAATCTGGTGCCTCGACATGGGGGTGCCAATCATGGCGGCCGCCATCATGCCCAGCGTCACACAGAGCTGCAAATAGCCGTAGACCCGCCCACGCGAGGTTTCCGAGGTAGTGTCTGCGACCAGACCCACGCACAAAGGCTTCAAGCTGGCCAACATGGCTCCATTGATGATCCTCAAGACCATCATCAGCGTAAAGCCGTCGATGAATGCCAGCAGCACGGTGCAAAGGCCTTGAAGCAACGCCCCTACGGCCAGCAGGGTCTTTCGTCGCACGACTCTGCGATCTGCCAGGACGCCCCAAGCCGGTGCGGCCAAGGCTGATGCGACGGCCTGGCCCAAGGTCATCACTGAAAGATCCGTCAATCGCAAGTGTAGGTCATGTTGAAGAGCAAGATTCACTGCCGGAAGCAATCCCATATCCATACCCTCAATTGCACTGATGCAACAAAGCTGTAGGATCATCATGGTAGGAGGAGATTTCTCTTCCTCTTTCTCTGTCTCCGCGTCAGAGTCATGGTCATTGTCTACAACCTCAATCTGCCGTCCAGACATCCTGGTTGAGGCACAACGTCTGTTCTCCTTAAGCCAAGGCTTGAGCCGTGGTTGCAGGTACACAGAACTTGATCTGAAGTATATACAGGTGCACTGCCTTCTTTTTGGCCACCAGTCCTGTTTCATCCTTTTGCTATATAAGTGTTCGCAAACAAAAAAAAGCTGGAAACGCAATCTCTATTTGGGGACTTCTGCCACTTTAGCACATCACACAAACCATCCATGTCCTCCCTCCATCAAATACAAACCGCAGTTAAGCTCGCTTCGTGCTGGGCGTGGCGCGTATCGTTGACCTGCCACCATCTCCGGGGCTGCGTAACAGGGTGAGCCACAAGCCGTTTTCAGGAGCTGACCATCCTGCGATGCAGAAAAGTCCCCGTGATGCATCTCGAACGGCGGCCGGTGCGAATGTTCTCTTCTCGGTCTGGTTGGGACACAGAGTTTGGCAGCGAAGGGATCAACTTCGCCAAAGGATGGGCCGTTTGGGCTGTCTACCTGTCCGCCTGGACACCCAAACAACTGTTTTGTGGTAATTATATGGCGCCAGCTTGAGATTCTTTACAGAATAAGTGGCTGTTTAGGGGAAACATCTGGCTGTTTGGGTTTCCAGGCACATCTGCCACATTCGGTCCGAATTCTTGGGTGGATGGATTGAGGAATTGGGACTGGGGTTGAACCCAGTTCCCATCAGCACCCTGATTCCAAACACCAAGTTCTATCAAATCAGTGGAAGGGCCCAGAGGACCCAAAACAACCCAATTCCATGGCTGGGTGGCTCGTGATGTGCGCCTAAGCGAATTGATGCATATTCCCACGGATGCCATTCTATAGATTGGCAACCCTTGTCGGGATTCAAACTCTACCGAAGGGTCTCCATGATTTGCTCTATGTGTTGCTATTTGTCGATGTGTGGTGCCAAATTTGGGTCACCCTCAGCTCACCCTCGTGGAGGATTTGAGGGGGGGGTTCAAGAACCGAGCTCCCGATCCTGCCGAGTCATGTGAGCAGAGTCAAACAGTGACCCGACTGGGGCATGGACAGTCGTGAAAAGGGGCGCTTTCGATTTGGAGTCTTCTTTGGTGACGCAGAAAGAAAGCAACAATTCAAATACCTGGTTGAAAAAGACACCATTCCACTACATGCTTAAGCGGAAGCCGGTGCATCACTCAGTCCACCTCTGCTGGGACAATCACTCCCAACAGGGATTCTAACATCGGATGTGGCAGCTCGGCCGGTCTCTCCCCCTGGGCGGCCTGGTAGGTATTGCTGAGACCAAAATCCACGATCTTGATGTTCTTCTGCTCATCCAGCAGAAGATTCTCTGGCTTCAAATCCCGGTGCACGACGTTCATCCTCCGATCCCGAGCATCGAAGTCGAACGTCGACGAGCGCTTTCGATGGGCGTCGGACGGGACGTCCTGGCGGGGGGGGCGATTGGAAGGACACCGCCCATCCTGGCTCTCTTGGTGGGTCAAACGGGCGACGCCCTGGAAGTTCTGAGTCGGTGACCATCGGATGGGTCGGTGCAATAAACTCCTTCACCGATCCTTCACCCAGCCTTCACTGGTGGTCCGGGCCGGTGTTTCCTTTCAAAAACGACAAGAAGAAACTTGGAGACCCCAAGAAAACCAATGCGTTGTACCAGGAGATCCCCCTCTCTGACCAAAGGATGGGACACGTGCATGTTGCAGTTTTTCCGGTAGGACAAGCAGGTCTATCCCTGCTTCATGCTACAAAACCACAGCTGTGGGGGCCAGCTGACCTGGCAGAATTGTCGACATTTGCGTTGGATGCCTTGCTGGGATGGGCTGAAAATCTTTTCACAGGAGGATTGGCATCTCAACGTGGCTCTACTACACATGTCCTAAAGCAAGTACAGTAGATCTATGTAGATCTTGGGTAGCGTCCTTTTCCCTTCCACCAAACCTGACCAAAAGCGCCTTCAAAACTCTAAACCCAGATTCATTAAGATTGATGTGATTCATGTACCTCCAAACCCGACGGTTCTTCTTTGTGTGTAGGTCCGTGTGTAGCTTTTAAAAACATACCTGGACCATCCAAGGGGTGCCCTGTCTGGAAGCCTATAGGTTGTGTCGGGTAGTCCAGTGGACACCCCTTGCATGGTCCTGGTATAAAAAGAGCGTTCTCATCCTCATCTTCCAAGGCTCCGGTGGATCTGCTCGACACCCGCCATGATCTGGTGCACGAAGCGCGCTGCCTCGCTAGCAGAAGCGTGCTGGGTCCCGTCCCCCGTCTCTCCTTCAGGACCGACAACTCCACCCGCCTGGGGGGGGGAGCTGGACTTTGAGTTCTGGGAGCGCAACCAGGAACATCTTGGAACCAGGAACTCATGGCAATTCCGTGTGAACCGAACTTCCCTGCCTCAAGAACCAGTGGGAAACTGCTTTGCCGTCAGATCTGTCTTCCGAAGCGATCCAGCCCAGCCCCTTCCGGAAAGGTTGGGTCGGCAACCTGGAAGCGATCCAGCGCCTCCCGTTCGAGCCTTCCGTCGGGCAACGAATCGATCGTCCGGATCGTCCGGAGACCCGTCGCCTACGCCGCCGTTGACCTCTCCGCATCTCTCCCTGTCCGCCTCGCTCTCCTTCACGCGGTTTTGCGCCACGATGTAGTCGAAGAGTTCTCCACCACAGCAGAACTCCATGATGAGATACCTCCGACCGGACCACCCCGGAGGAGGGACGGATCGTGTCGCGGAGAAGGCTGAAGGGAAAAAGGAAGAAGAGGTCAGAGGAGCGCAACGTTGCAAAAGCAAAAGGTGTGAAGGCTGATGGAAGTCTTTCTCTATCTTGGGGGGTCTCATACGGATCTTATGAGAGGCATAAGCTGCATGGTTGAAAACCGTGATGTGTCGCACTGTCACCTTGTGTTGAAACATTCCAACATGTGGTGCCTCAGGACTGTCACGAAGGGCACACTAGAAATAAGCATATTAGGTACAAAGGCCACGAATACATAGTGGCCAGCAGAGGTTGAAGAACCCTATAGACTATCCCATAGGTACCCCAGGACTCCCCAGGTCACGGGTCCTGTAAGGTCACTTAACCCCTCTTGGGGCACTTCTCAACATTCTTGTGCTGCTAGGTTGGATGTGACATCAAATGAGAAAAGTCGTCGAAATACTGCCGTCAGCAACGCAGGCTGCGGTTCTTGTTTCGGTTTTATGGATGATCTATCACTACGAATAATCATTGCTACTGGTAATACAAACTTCCACACCAACTGCTTCCTCATCACTCATCAAAACTGTGATGTCTCTTCATCTCCTTGCCTTCTAATGCCGCATGTGACCACCACTATCCACCTTCAAAAAACACTTCTGGATGAGAAGACCAACTCACTTTTCCATACCTTTTCCCAACTCTCACCAAGGCACAGCTGTCTCGGCGTCTCAATGATCTCGTAGAGCTGAATGATGTGGGGATGTTGCACCTGACGATGAAGCGGCCGCACCGAACTCGTGCAGTGCTGCCGCAGTCCGTCAGCGACGCAGTCTTCACCCAGAAGATCGTGGTTTTTGGTCCAGGATGCTCACATCCCAGGATGCTCCAAATTCCCTTCCAGCCCCCCCCCGGCTAAGAGTGACTAACGCTCCTGATCTCCCACACTGCCGTCTTGAAACCTCTTCGTCCCAAAAAACACCTCCCGGGGGACACCCCGCCAGCTTGAGAATGTGGATCTCGCGCGCCACGCGCTCCACATCCGCCACATCCTCAGACGGTGACAGCGGGGTGAGACGGTGGAGCAAAAGCAGAAGGGGGTATGAAGACAGCGGATTGAAGCCTACTGGAAGCAACCAAGAACCAAGATGAACTCTCATCTTCTTCTCGTTATTGCTGAATGGCTGTCTTGGGGGTCCTCTTCTCAGGAAAGGCAAACTGACTGGGCCTCCAAACAACAATCCTCTCTTTCTCCAAGATTTTCACGGCCACCTGGACAACAGCCATCTTTGGCTGTGAGGATGCAAAGCGGCCCCGACACACTCAGCCGGAATTGGTCTATGTTGAGTCTGACACGGGCTTTGCCGTGAAGTTTGGACCTTTTGGACAGGGGTTGTGGGAAAGGTTCAGGACGCTTTGAAAAGCAGGATGTTCATCTATATCACAAGCATGGCCATGAAAACATGCATTTGGGGGGGCCGCACCCATTTGCTTCAAGCATCTCAGCATCTTGGCTTTCACAAGTTCCCCTTTGTACCAGTTTTTCCTCACTTAGTAGTTCCAAGTCTGAAGAAAAGTTAAAGACAATGGGCCACTTCCTCATCACTTCTGCAACCCCCACACTTGGAGGAACCTTCCTCCTCATTCTGAACGCCGTTTCGTGCCTTCTCGCCCGTGAGGATGTGGGTGCCCAGCTTCACTTTGCCAAAGGTCCCTTCACCGATGGTCTTTCCCAGGATGTAATGACCTGTGTCGCGGTCTTGGTCCGCGGCGTCTTGGGAGTGGTAGCACCAGGGAGTGGTAGCCGCCCGCCCGGGGCTTTTTGGGGTCAAGAAGAAGCTTTGCTTCCAGGCGAAGGGCGGGAGGGGCCACCAAGGAAGGATCGATTGCCATCCAAGAAACCAGGAAAAAGGAGCAATGCCCATCAGGAACACGGCTTTCCTCGCACAAGTTCGAGGGTAGTCTCTTCATCTTGTGTTCTTTCCTGACCTGTGGCTCTGCCAACGGCCTGAGACCTCTCAATTCCAAGGCCCCATTCAAGCCAGCCCGGCTGCGGGTGGTGTCCTGTTTTCACCTCTGAAGGTGAAACTGAGGCTTCGGGCCAATGGACTTGGATCTCATTCCTCTGGGTGTCGCCATCGCGACCTGGGTGTTGCGTTCGGCGATGGACACGTACGCGTTCCGCTGGTGGGCACGGGGAAACCCGCGGTGAGGGCCTGGAAAAGGAGATCCAGGTGTTCTGTCCAAATGATTCTAAGAACGGTTCTCTCCTGGATGATACTTCCTAGAAATATGATCCAGGTGTTCCATCCAGGTGTGCTATTCATTCATGTGTGGGTGGAAACTAGTCATGTCTATAGGGAAAGCCCCTCCGGTTTTGGAGGGCTGGTGGTGTACAACAGCTGTTCCTTTCCAGCGATTGGGTCTCCCAGGTAGCACAGTAACAGTGGATGATGGGAATGTAAAGACATTTCTCAAAAAGAGGACATTTTACCAAGGCCCCTTTCTCCTCCTTCGGCATCCCAACCGGCTTTTCTCGGCTGGGTGAAAGGGGCTTCGATGCTGGGCTTCGATGCTGCGACTCAGCGAGCTGGCTGGGCTGTTTGCAATGGTCTTAGAGGCTCTGTCTTGCACCGTATTGTGTTGCTCAAAGGTAGGCCTGGCCTTTCGCTACGCAGCAACTAAGACAGCTGCTGCTTGTCGGACTGTGCTTCTTTGATGGTTTTTGGATGTTTTGGGTCTTGCCGGGAGCATCTGGCAACCGTGGAACTGGACAGCTTCTGAATCTCTTGATGCCTTCCTTCACACCTTTCTCCAGGCTGAAAACGGCCACGGCACGCCAACGGCCACGGGTGACGACCGACGTGTGAAACCCGGTCCGACCCCAGGCCGCGCACGTCCAGGCCGAGCACTCCCCATTGGGCACCCAAAAGGAAGGACTGAAAAAGGAAGATCCCTCGGTCTGGCTTCGTTGGCAGCCGCTTTCAGGGACACTGTCGTCGAAAAAGGGACACTGAACGACGGCAGGGACACTGGAGAAGATCACGCACGTTGAACGACCCTTTTTCATGCGTCCCAAGCCACAAACAAAATTGGTCTGCTACCCTCCCCAAACTGATACCAAAGCCCCAGCAAGAGAAAAAGCATGTTTGAAGCCTTTTGTGGGGTGCTAGCTGCTAGGTTGGTTTCGACGCGATCTTTTTGAGTTTAGACCCCTACCAGCCAACACCATCTACTTCTCCTCTATGAAAAAGATGGTCTCCCCATTCCCCATCCATCCCTTTAAGTTCTGCTTACTGGAGGATTACATGCCAAAATCCTCTCTTGTTGGTAGCCATGCATGCATGTTGACATCAAAAATCGATGCCAAGAGCACATGGTCTGTCTCTAGATTGTCTTCACTTCCTTTTCGGAGCTAGGCTTCTGCATGTGCAAATCATGTGAGCTCAAAGACCCGGAACGATGGCTCAAAGACTCGTTCATATCCCAGGGATGGGATGGTCACCATGGTCTCTGGGAGTATGCAGCTGGTATCCAGCTATAGGACCTAGGCCTTATATACCTGTCTATCTGTGATGGAGTCATGAGGAATCAAGGCTGTCCAACAGCTCACCACTCCTGAGCTGTCCAACAAACCCATCAGAGTCCACTTCCTGAGCTTTGCTCCTTCTTCGGATCAGTCACCTTTGAACTAGAAGACTGTCACACTCAACGCGAGGTGTGTGGTTTTGGGTAAGCATTTGGGGATGGCTGAATCAATCAATAAATTACAGTAACATCAATTAACTGCAGAATATACCATTACAGTAGTAATTATCATAAATTATTGCGCACAGACCATTCCAAAGTTGCTCTATGGTGGAAGTCTGGCCAAAATACAAAACAAACAAATCTCGACCAAAACCGCTTCGCTCGGGCGGAGGACTCCTTTTTGGGCCCGTGTCAGAGATCCTTGCTACTCGCGTGAGGCCTCCGTCGCACCCTTCAGGAAGAGCGAGAGACCACCACGAAAATCAGGATCACTGCCAGCACCGCCGCGAGCAGTAAGAGCCAGTAGATGAATCTAGAGCCGCGCCTGTCGAACCAAGGTAGAGCGACCTGACCTCAACTTTGAACAGAATTCTGACTGAGCTACCTTCGGGCTATCCGCCCAAGGTTCTAGTCGGTCGATGATGAAGCATCGTGGTTGTATTGGGTCAATGTAACTGATACAGTACCAGCCATGTGCTCACTCTATCCAACAGTACAGCCATTTCTTTCTTCCCACTTCTGCATGTGGACGGCTAGCCGTCATGGTATGTGTGGGTTCCCCCACCTCGAAAGCTCCACGTTCGGCCGACCAACGGACCGGAATACTCCGTGCGAATGAGACGACCAGCACTCCGGGCATACGAAGTAGGAAGAAGCACTTGACTCACTTGAGCAGAATGATTCTCGTTCAGACTTGATGAACACCCGACTGAGGGCTGACTCGCTCGCGTGGAAACCATTTTCCCGGCAGACTCGAAGGACCATTAAACCGTGACACCTGGAAACCATGGAACCGGACACATGGCGAATCCCCGTCCGAAAAAAGGATCCTGAATAACAACACCCGGAAGGGGCTGCCCTTCGGAAAACACGCGAAGGGGATCCTCGTCACGCTCCCCCAAGAGGGTATCTCAGAACCTACAGTCATCACGCCTTTTGATCCAGGAATGTTTGGATTTCTGTTCTCCTTCGGGGCCATGTCATCCCGTTCCATGTGCAGAAGTGGTCAGCTAGGAAAGGGAAAACACAAAATTAAAAAATAAAAGGAAGAAAGAAAGACAGACAGACAGACAGATAGACAAACAGACATGTGAAGTTCAACATGACACTGTTCCCAACATTGAAGGAGATAAGATACCTCAACATTGTGGCTCAACACTAGGGCCCTTGAGCACATTCAACATACAAACAAAAGGCGCGAGCATTTCAGCAAACAGTTCAACAATACTTCATAATTTTACATGGTAGCGGAGCAGACCTGGAAACGATCCGGGCTGCTCAACTGATCAACCGATCAGTCACAACAACAAAGCATAGCATCAACAGCCATTGCCGGAGAGGCTTGATCTACTGATCAGCAATGGGCCAGTAGGGACTTCTTGACAATGGCGCAGGCAGGGGAACAACAAGGACAAGAACCACAGGAAGCATTAGCAAGCTCACACAAGTACCGCATCAAGCCACCAACATTTGACGGCAACTATGCACACTTCGAGGAATGGAAGTACAAATTCACAGCATACATGGGACTCACCAACAACAGGTATCCACTACTGCTAGACCAGACAGCAGCAGCAGCCACCCTCATTGATGAGGCAAGACTACGAGGAGCAGCATCAACAACAGAAGAAGCCAACGAGAACATCCAAATGTCAGCAGATCTGAAGTACATCCTCATCAGCATCACCAGTGGATCAGCAGCCATGATTTGCAGACAATATCAGCAGACAACAGGCTTCGAGATATGGAGACAACTCCATGTCCGATTCATGATTCCAACAGGAACTCGAGGAATCGGTTATCTCACACGACTTCTCAAACCAACATTCGATCAGCACAACTTCGAAGAGTCTTTCATACAATGGGAATATGAAGTCAACAGATTTGAGACAGACAACCAATCACCATTACCAGACGCAGTCAAAGTCGCCATCTTGCTCAACGAGACCAAAGGTTCACTACGGCAACATCTACAACTACAAGCAGGTACAAATCCAACATACACACACATCAGAACAACCACCATGGAATACTACAAGTCGATTACAGCCTTCAGCAGGATGCAACAAGCCACATCAGCTCAAGCAACATACCAAGGAGGAGGAACCGCGCCAATGGACATAGGAGCAATCAACAAAGGAAAAGGAAAAGGCTACAAAGGAAAGAACAACAAGGGCAAAGGCAAGCAGAACAAGGGCTACAACGACGGCAAGGGAAAAGGCAATGGAAACTACAACAAAGGAGGATTCGGCAAGGGCAAAGGAAAGATACAGATGCAACAGAAAGGATGGCAACAACAGCCGATTGGACAAGGCAATCCATTCAGCAAGGGCTATGCACAAGCACCACACAAAGGCAACAAAGGAAAGGCAAAGGTAAGCCGGTCACAGCAATTTGCTACAAGTGCGGCAACCCAGGTCACTTGGCCCGGGATTGTCGAGTGGCAGTGTACAACATGGGGGAAGCGACATATGAAGATCAGACACAAGCATGGTGGAATGACCAACAGTATGATGCAACATGGTGGAGCCAGGACTTACGACATGTTCAGCAGCCGCAGTCGCAACAGCAGTTAGCCTTACCACCAGCTCCAACATATCCAGTAGCTCAAGCAAACACTGAGCAAATCCACTTCATCAGCGGGGTCGGCAACGACCTTCTCATTGCAGCCATTGAGCATCAACAGGTAAGCAAGACACAGAGCGCAGTATGCCCACATGGTTTCAGCAATGAACAAGGACCAAGACTTCGATCAGTGACCAACGACAACATCCAGCTGTTTGGGCAAAGCATCGTCATCCCTTTCTACGTATGCAATGTCCGTCAACCCATTCTGTCAGTCACCAGACTGGCTGAACAAGGGTTTACATTGTAGTTCGGGGACAACCCCGCACATTGAACACAGTAAAGGGTTTCGATCAACACTGGAACAGAAGGATAGTCTGTATTATCTCAACACCAGGGTCCTTCAACTGCCAGAGGATCACAGACTACACATCGAACAGGCCGACGACGGAACAGTCTCGGCCATGATCGCGCCAACAACAGCTCTCACACCTGATGGTCCAACAGTCGTTCTTGGAGGCCGACAGGACTATTGGACATACAACAGTGAGGGTTACCTGGTGCGTGCCCACAAGGTTCCACGCAAGGCACTGTTTCAACCAGAACGGACATGTCCTGCGCCAACAACACAACTTGAAGACTTTAGGAGAACAATTGTACGACGAGAAGACAGCAACAATGAGGACATCAGGGACAACTACCTCACCATCAACAAGCGTCAGCAACGACGTGTCCTCAAGGGACAACCCTGGACAGGTGAGACCTGGTTCAAGGTCAAGCTTGGAACAACCCAAATGAGCACACAAGTCACACCACCAGCAACATCAAAGCCTGTAGCCATCGAGAACAAAGGAAAGTCAGCAGGAAAAGGAAAGAAGGCAACAACACAGCCTCAGGCATCACAAACACCCCAACCGCCTGAGCAGCATATCACAAAGCAACCACTCTACAGGCACACCTTCAAGAGTACACCGCCTACGACAACAGCAATCCCACATCCAAAGGACGTGGTAGCAACGTCTGATTACTGGATGCGGGAAGGACACTTTTGGAAACGTGTCCACATCCAGCCAAGAACAACCTTCTACATTCCAGAGCGAACAGACGACGGACCAGACATCAGCAAGTTGAAAGCATGGAGACAGACATTCACAACGGCAGTAGGGAACAAACACAAACACAACAGGTACGAAGATAATTGGACAGAAAAGCCCAACAAAGCCTTGAATTATGAGTGGACAGGATCCAATAACTTTGAGGAAGCAACAGAGTACAACGCCGAATACGACACAGATGAAAGAGAGCAACAACAGT